GGAATCGCTCTGAGATGAATCTCAAAATCGAAATCACTCTGAGACCGATCTGAGAAATCAAGCACAGCCTCTCCTGAGATCACTTCCTCTGCGATCGAAACCAACCCCTCTTCTCTCTTTGCAATCTCCCAGAGCTTCAGATCGATATCGCAGAGTACAAAGGATGAATCGAGAGAGAGAGAGCAAGACAGCGGAGCTTCAGAGCTTCAAATCGAATCGCTCTGATGTGAGCTTCAAATCGAAATTCTGGTTTCCAACCAAGTCAAATTTTGAATCTGTATGAATCTCAAAGAAAATGGCTCTGAATCGAAATTGTTGTCAAGGGTTTAGAAGCAATTGGGGGTGAGCAAGAGAGAGGCGTGGGGATTGTGAAGGCGTGAGATTCAAAATAAGGGTTTCCAAAGCTTGAACAAGTATCAAAATAGCGCGTGAGGGCCAACGTATTTGGAGGCGTTTTTAAACGCCTCCGATTTCAAAACGGTGTCGTTTTATTAACGAAATATGCGACGTTTTTATAAAACGTCGTTAAATATTTATAAAAGTGGCGTTTAAAAAAACGCCGTTAAAAAAACGCCGTCTAAACCTATTTTTCCTGTAGTGATATCCGAACACCACAGTGCCAATAAATAAATAAAAAATCATATTCAATATAAGACCGTCTTAATCCTTTATCAAATCTTTCATCAAATTTAAATTTGATGAAAGATTTGATAAAGGATTAAGACGGTCTTATATTGAATATGATTTTTTATTTATTTATTGGCACTGTGGTGTTCGGATATCACTACAGGAAAAATAGGTTTAGACGGCGTTTTTTTAACGGCGTTTTTTTAAACGCCACTTTTATAAATATTTAACGACGTTTTATAAAAACGTCGCATATTTCGTTAATAAAACGACACCGTTTTGAAATCGGAAACGCCTCCAAATACGTTGGCCCTCACGCGCTATTTTGAATGTGAGAATACTTGTTAAAGCTTTGGAAACCCTTATTTTGAATCTCACGCCTTCACAATCCCCACGCCTCTCTCTTGCTCACCCCCACATTTGGAGTAACCCTTGACAACGATTTTGATTCAGAGCCATTTTCTTTGAGATTCATACAGATTCAAAATTTGACTTGGTTGGAAACCAGAATTTCGATTTGAAGCTCACATTAGAGCGATTTCGATTTGAAGCTCTGAAGCTCCGTTGTCTCGCTCTCTCTCTCTCTCTCTCGATTCATCCTTTGTACTCTGCGATATCGATCTGAAGCTCTGGGAGATTGCAAAGAGAGAAGAGGGGTTGGTTTCGATCGCAGAGGAAGTGATCTCAGGAGAGGCTGTGCTTGATTTCTCAGATCGGTCTCAGAGTGATTTCGATTTTGAGATTCATCTCAGAGCGATTTCGATTTTGAATTTCTCTCTCTCGATTTCGAAGCTTCACTGCGATGTATTGATCTCTCTCTCTCTCTCTCTCTCTCTCTCTCAAGCTAAAATCTTGTTAAAACAAGTGTTTAATTGTGTTTTTTGCTTGTATTTCACAGGTATTAAGTCTGCATTAAATCAATGTTTCAATTTGTGTTCTGATCATTGACTTTCTCATTTATTTTGTTTGTTAATCTTTGTAATCTATCAAACCAATGTTTCAATTTGTATATATATAATAGATCTGTGTGTTCTTTTTAGATTTTTCTTCTCTGTTTTGAGTTTGTCTGCTGTGTAGAATTAGTGAACTCGATTACGATGAATTGATAGAGACTAACTAGTTACTTCATGGATGCCTATTGTACTTTCAGTTGTGTCAGACTTCCGTATAATTTCTCCCCTTGTGATTTCAGTATAATTTCTGCTAAAAAACACCAGCCATCTCTAACAATCTGCTCAACATAGGTACAATGTTGATTTGGTTGTTAATTTTCATTTGTGCAGATTAGGATCGAAAATTGGGGCAGAACACCTAAGAGAGAGAAGGCAGTTGAAGAGGTTTTGTTCTATATATCCTCTCTCTTCTATGGAATTGCCATTTTATGTATATTTTAAACATAAATAAATTCTAGTCTCAATTCATCTAAATTGGTCAACTCTATATAACTTACAATTAGTCAGATTTGTGTTGTATGTTTAAGTGTTGTGCTTACAATTGGTATGTTTTCATTGTCTCTGCTCGTTTAAAGCCTCTTTTCTCATGAATTTTGGGTTTTGTATGTTGAAAAATGTTAGTTTGAAAGTTTGGGTCTGTCTGTATGTTTTACTGTAATCATGTAGTGTAGAGGACATGAAACTAGGAATTGCCAAGAACTTCGCGTAACACTTTTTGTGGACTTATAAAAGGAGAATAAAAAATGTGAAATAAGTTTTTGGATGCCATTATCATATTTGTGCATTTTTTGTATCATCAAAAACCAGAAGACCAGTTAGGAGATGCAGTCACCAGAACAGCAAAACAATATTCGCAACAAACCCACAAAATTTGGCACATGGTGAAGGTATAGTTATGGTGGTTGCAAATTAAAACCACACCCCAAAATAACATTCAAATTAACTGTCTAGTTTTGTTAATCACTCTGTTTTTAATTTTTTTAGAGGGAATCTCTGAGTTCTATGGAAAATGATATAATATATTGTTATTGAAATAGTGGCATTTAAAGTTTTTTGAGGAAAACAATGAAATTGTTTCAAGTGTATTTATTTTATTTTATTTCAAGGACTCTACTGTAGAGCTCTTCATGGGCATCTTCTTACTGTCTGCCTTTGCTGTAATTAGTAATATAGAATTCAACTGTTGACTCACTGGAATTGGTTTCAATGTTTTTGGTTTTTGGTTTCTTCTTTTGCTTTTAAAGTTATGATTTTGGGGGATATGGTTAGACTTCTCAAGACAGTTTTTGGGTTAGGATTTATTTTATTTTATTTTTTATGTTGTTATTAAATTTCATCACCTTTGGATACTTTGACCATTTTAATTATTTTCTTGTGTATCAGACTTCAATATAGTAATAATATCCTTCTGAGGTGGTCCACTTATCCTGATGAGCTGAGCTGACCCTTTTTCTTCTCTCTTTTGTGTTGTTGAATAGCTTTGACAATTTTATGCAACTTGTGATTGGTACATTATGAACACCCATGAGCTGAGTTGAGCTAACCTGGAGCTGAGCTGCATCTCTCTCTCTCTCACAAATCGCAGATCCGAACTCGATCTGATCTCTCTTGCATTTTGTTAGATCTATTCTTGCTCTAGCTTTTCTTCATCGAACTCAAACTCGATCTCTCTCGCAAATTGCAGATCCGAAATCGAACAAGAAAGTCTATCAATTTAATTGGTGTTTGATTTCTTTGTAGGTGGCGATGAAATGTAGAGATCAGTTACATGAACTTGTAAAGGAAGAGATTGAGAAGAGGGATTCGAGTACGGAGGAGTGGAAGATCGCGATGGAGAGAAGCTTCAATCGCATGGACAATGAGGTGATTGCAAGGAACGACAGCGTTCTGCGCACCGAGAAATATCGATCCGTTGTTGAAGGATCTGAGTGAGAAGAAGCAGAGCTTCCGGCGGAACGTGGTGTCACTGGCGGTGGAGCACAAGGAGGTCCGAAGCCGTCTCGCTTCACAGGTGCAATCATTGGCTCTTCAAACCCTAACAAGACAGGCATGTGAATTTGTATATTTGTTTATATGTTTCTATGTATATTTGTTTGCATCTGTGTGTACTTTGGAAATAAAATAATTTCATTTCACCTTTTTGTTCTTCTCTGTAAAGTGATGTTCTTTGTGGGACCTTCTCTAATTTTGTGTATTTTTGGGTTTTTTATTATTATTTTTTTCCCTAGGCAGAGGCCAAAGCTAAGAAGATGGAGGATGAGATGTATAGATTACAGGAGAGCTTAGAGGAGAGAAATTGCAGCTTCAAGCATCAACATCTACTGCTGGGAAGGTATGATTTTGCTCTGTTTTCTTTTTATGCACTTGATTGCATAGAACCAGTTGGGTTTTTCATGGTTGAAGAACTTGGTTTTGGTTGAGCAATATGTACATATGGATTAAACTCAGCTAAATTTCTCAACCATGTTAAGAGCTTTTTTGTCTGCAGATTTTTGTTGGTTCTTATAGAAACTTGTTTGTGGATTTGATGTAGAAGTTTTAACAGATTGATATACCTCCATTATGTCATTGTCAACATGCTTAATAGTTCTTTTCTTTCAGGTTTCGCAGGAGTTCATTAATTAATTGACCGATAATTTTGGTAAGGACCAAAAAAAAATATAAAAATAAAAATAAAAATTGTGAGAATAGAAAACTTCATTACTTGTTTGGATGGTTAATTAAGTAAGAAATAGTAACAAATGATGAGAGATAGTGAAAAAAGTATTCTCACCAAATTTATATTTTGTTTCTCACCAAAAGTGATGAAATTTAGTGAGGAATCATTTTTTTTTTCTCTTTTATTAATCCAAATATAATGATGAAAAATCATAAATATTTCTTTTGTTTTCTAGCCTAAGTGAGAAATTATAATTATTATTTTTTTTCTCACCTCACCTCATGATTTAAACTTAGTGTAAATTCCGTCATATCCTATCTTAAAATACTCATAATTATTGTATCATATTTTAAGATTATTGTACTTAAAGATTTTTACATTATTCAATGAAAATTTTCATACAGAAGAGTATACAGAGATTTGTAGATGGTATAGATTATTCAGCTGCTTGTAAGTTATTATTTTTTGTTTGAGAATCTATGTTAAAAGTGTTTTAAAAATTAGAGTATTTTTAGCTTCAACTTAAAAGAAATTATATAATTAAATCACATAAAAATATTTATACTAATTATTAGGATAAATTACACTCTTGAAGTTGGAAAAAAATATGTTAAATTTCACAAGTTTGACATAATTATATTAAGTTCCTTAAGGTTTTAATTCATATAACTTTAATTCCATTTTCATTATAAATTTGTTAGTAATATGAATGAAAAAATAATATTGTCATTTATTTTACATTAAAATATATATTTTACCGGTTTATATTTGTGTTTTCATATCATCTGTATTATTTTTATCTCTTTAAATTTTTTTTGGATAATGGTCTCTTTAACTTTACTAAAAAGAATATCAGTATAATTATATTCTATCGTTTGGCTCATTTCACTTGGTGAGAGCTATCTAAAATGTGGAAAACAGTGCTTTTCTGGTCCCCCCACATACATATTTTTTTGTTATGCTGGTGTCTGTAATTGTTTAGGGAGTCACTGAAGGTGAAGGGAAAGTGTTCATTCACAAATGACCAGGAATGAGTCTTGAGCTTTGTAAAATCCCTGTATTTGATTACCCTTAAATGAGAGACTCATTATTGAAATTCTAATTATTGAAATCCCTGTATTGGATGCTAATTATTGAATTCAAAATTGTAGACTCAAATGAATGAGCTAACGGAGCACATGGAGGCAGCAACTTTTGCACCCTCGAACCCATTATATAGGCAGCAGGTATTTTCATTATTTTTACTAGTTTTTACTTTAAATTGCCCAGAGCTACTATACAACTTAAGCCTCTTATTGAATGATAGGTTGCTGATTCACGTAGTAGTCATCCCACTGTTCGGCCAATGTCACATCAACAACAATCTCATGCATTTTCATCCCAAGAGGTGAGCAATCATTTAATCAAAGCTTTTTTGACAATACAATATCTTATTAATTAAAATACTTGTTCTGATTAAATATAGGTTTACCTTTCAAAGAAGAAGAAGAAGAAGAAGAACTAACAAGGTAAAAGTACTAACATCACTAGTTTTTAATTTCTCACTTTTCTAAATCTATTAAGACATGATGTTTGTTTAATGTTTACTAGTGAGTCAATTCAACAAATAAAAGAATAGTTGACATATAGAAAAGAGAGATGTGAAGTACTGGTTTTGTCATTGATGGAGTACTCCTTAGAAGTGATTAACATGTAGAGAAATAAACAATATCAAATCAAATATATATATTTCTGAGTGCTGTTTGCATCCAAATCTATTTTTTAAATTATACTAGCTCAAAGTTGGACCAAAATTTGCCAACCTTGAAGAAGCCCTCGAATAACTCACTTGCATCCAAATCTGTTTTCACCCTCCTATAGAAAAGCACATAAGCAGCAGCTGACTTCACATCTTCTTCGTTTATGGCTGAAATGTGGCTGTCATCGAAGTTTATTTCCTATACGTAAAGCTTATTTCTAGTATGCTACTTTGTAAGCGGAATACCGTCGAGATATTTTTTGTTATCTGTCTGGACTATGATGCTCTGGCTCTAAACAGACTGAATCATGCTATACTCATTTGTCTTCAAGAGTTAGTAGTCTCCTTTGTTTTAGTTATTTCTTTTCCTATGGTTTTTTATTTATTTAATTTTTATTTATTCCAGGAATACTATAGCACCAGTTCTAATAAAATGTTGCTTTTAAAATGATATTATCAATGAGAAATACAATGAGAGTTGATATATCTCTATAAGGTATGGAGTTGGAGTTGGTGACTGTGGTACAGTTGCACCCCTTGAATTTTTTTATAAGAAATACAATGAGAGTTGAGTTGAGTTGACCAGTTCTATCTGTTGTAGTTTATAAAACATTGAACCTAGTGGCCTTAACCCTCCCCAACCTTGTTGAGTTCCTCCCCAAACCCGTCACATTGGGGATAGTATGGGCCAAGTTACTGGATGCGTTTGCTATATTGCACTCACTATGTTTAATGGGTTGACACAGCTGAGCTTCGATGAACATTAGCAATGGGTGGAGAGAGATATGGTGTTGGAAGCTAAAATAACAGTTGAGGCCAAAGGATTTGAGCTTAGAATAGGATGGGGTTGGAAACCATCAATGACAACAAATATGAAAGGTCCCTCAAAGAATTTGTTAAGAGATGATTTTGTAAAGTATGTATTATGGTTGGGGTAGGGTAGGACTCCTATATTTTTTTTTCTCCTTGTGTCTTTGTTTTTTACTCTGGCAGGTTTAAATGCGGTCAAAGTATCAGATAAATCCAGTGATATGTAGAACTGTATCATTACAAATGCTCATTTGCATAGCTATATCTTCGTCTTATTCTTATTCTTCTTCTTCTCTCTCTCTCTCTCTCTCTCTCTCTCTCTCTCTCTGGTTGAGAGTTGAGATAATGTTTTCTGGGTTTGGCACTGATGAGTATTCTTTTTTTTTTGCCCCTTATTTGACAGGTGGTTATGTAAAACTTCCTAATGTTTTTAGACTGGGCATTTTGATGGCCCTTGTTAATATGTAATCTGGGGACTAGTTGGAACTCCCTGGTGGAAGATTTTGGGGCTTTATTGATGTTATTTTTGTAGGTAAAACTATACTTTCAACTGTTATTTTTTGTAGGTAAAACTATACTTCTCTTGTTGGCAATTTTTTTTTTCTTGTAGGATTTTTTTTTTTTTTTGTAGGAAAAGAATATACAACTTGAGCACAACTTCCACTGAACCTTCCTAGAATCTGAGAACTTTACTTTTTTAAGTACAAAAACACTGTTGCCTTTTTTAAAATGATGGTCATCATATTTATGCTATACTATTGTTGTTGTGTAGTTCTTCCTTGAACATTCTATTTCACTGAATTAACGCTTAATTTGTTATTTGAATGAGAGTTAATATTTTATTTGTCAATATTATTACAGGTATTTTTTTAATTCAATCAAATAAAATTAGCACAATTTAAAAAAAAAAAGAAAAGGGATATGACGGCGTTTCTACAAACGCCTCCTAAACCCTAAAATACTAACAGTCATATTTTTAAAACAGATACGACGGCGTTTCTAAAACGTTGCTAAATATCGTTGGTGACGTCAGCAGCTATATTGTAGGACATTTGGCGGCGTTTTACGACTATCACGGCGTTTTTAAAACGTCACAAAGATACAGCGACGGTCGCATCTTCGACGTTTGGTATTAAACGCCACAAAATGAATTAGCGGCGTTTTTTATACTTATAGCGGCGTTTTTAAACGCTACTAAAAGTCAAATTTCCAGCAGTGATTATGCTCTTTGATTTTTATTTTTTCGTTTCTAAGGGTTGCTGGCAAGATTATTAATGTATGGAATGATGTGTTGGGGACTTTCCATAAATGTATCCATTGTTTAGACACATGAAATACATTGTTAGTTTGAAAAAAATAACTTGGTATCTAATGATAAGATAAAAACAATGGATTTATAGCTATTATTTTCTTAACCTTTAGACTTTTTAATTTTAGGTGTTCTATTTCAATTTGTGTTTTAATAGAGTTTTCTAAAATATATACTACTTTTTGGTCATTACTTCTTTTCCATATGTAGAATGTGAAAAATGATTTCTTATTAATTTGGTATAATAAAGAATATACTTACTTCCAACGTAAAAGATGATGAAATTATTTTATTTTCATGTGTTTATATATATATATATTAATAGCTGATTTTTTTTTGGGTATGATTTTTGAGAGATTTTATATTAGCACACTTATTGTTCTTTATTCACCTGTTCATTCTTTATCTTTAATTATCTGTTGATGTTGATCTATCTTTGCTTACTGTGCATCAGTCATTGGTTCAATGCTTATTGTTGAATTGCAAGACGAACTATAGTTCTATTCTGTGCATGATGGTGTGAAAAATTGTATCCAATAACCGATTAAACTCGACTATCGTAGTATACGATTATTTACAGATTTTATTCATATAAAGCTTGTATTTTTGTAACTACTGCTTCATTGTTGAATAGCATGGTAGTATTGACCTATGCAACTTTTTTCTTTGCTTCTTTGCATTTGTTATCATGATTCATGAGTTAATAGCTCTAAAGAATATGCTGTTTAGATTCTCTCATTAATTTTCTTTTTGATTGGTTGGAGTGGGGAGAGTGTATATCTTACATAGCAAGCACTGAATATCGATGGGGCCATCATTGAAAAGTGGATCAAAAGTTGGGAAAAATGGATCAAAAGTTCACGAACCAGACGAGCACCCTCCCCAACATATTTCTTAACAAGTTCACGAAGCTAAATTGTACAAGACTACTTGGCAGTATAACATTTTTGGGAGGATTAAATATTTTTGGATGGATGTGTATGGATAACAAATATTAGTAGTTTTATTTGTTAATAGCTAACATGGCTCTGGGCACTACCAATTAACTAGAAAATTTCTCTAAAATATTACAAGCTGATGTAATAATCTGCTTGAGAGAATAATTTTTGACATCATAAAGAAAAACTTTTTTGATTTTTCCAACTAAATGTCTGTCCACATTGTATTGTGTCGAATGTTTAGAATAGTTGTATTGTGTCGAATGTTAATGATTCAGTTAATTTGAATGATGCTTTAAAATTATAGGTTTATTATGGATTGAATGAATTATTAAGAATTACAAGTGTATTGTTTTCCTGCTTTGGCGACCAATTTATTAGTCGCGACAAATAAATAATTTTTTTTCGCAAAAAATGACAATTGCCGACCAAGAGTTTTGGTCGCAAAAAATACATCTATTGCCGACCAAAATAGCTCTTGGTCGTGGAAACTCACTTTTGCCGACCAAAAGTTTTGGTCGCGAAAAGTAACAAATGGCGACCAATTTTTTTGGTCGCGAAATGTGATAATTGGCGACCACAAATTTTGGTCACGAAATGTAATTATTGGCGACCAAACTTTTTGGTCGCGAAATGTGACAATTGGCGACTAAGAAATTTGGTCGGGAAAATATCACTTTTCGCGACCAAAGTGTTTTGGCAACAAAATAAATTAGTCGCGGTTATTAAATATTTAGCCACCAAAAATTTAGTCGGCAAATCTAACTTTTGCCGACCCACCACAATTTTGGTCGCGAATTACTTTTGCCGACCCTCAATTGGCGACCAAAGTAGCAACAAAAAAAATTGGTCGCAGGTAACTTTTGCCGACCAAAAATTGACTTTTAGCGACCAATTTTTTTGTTGCAAAAAGTGTTAATTCTTGTAGTGCTTGCTGGTCAAAATCTAGACTTCCTCGCCGTTGTCGGGCTTTTCAAATCAAGGATGGCCTTGACCTGATCAGGGCTTGGCTTAATTCCTCTCTTAGTTACAAGATATCCCAGGAACTTACCATATCCTACTCTAAAAGCACATTTCGAGGCATTCAGTTGAAGCCGTTATGCTATCAAGATGGTAAAAACTTCCTTTAGGTCGGCAAGATGATCTCCAGGTTCTATACTCTTCATAACCATGTCGTCGATGCAGACTTCCACGGTCTTCCCAATTAGGTGGTTGAACAAGTTGGTTACCAACCTCTGATATGTTGCTCCTACATTCTTCAATCCAAAGGGCATTACTCTATAGCAATAGAATCCCATTTCTCTTCATCTAGGGTATACATGGCTATCTGATGATAACCTCTGTATGCATCCAAAAAGTTCATCTTTCCATACCCCGAGGTGGTATCCACCAGTTGATCAATTTTATGCAGAGGGAAACAGTCCTTCGGGCAAGCTTTATTCAGGCTTGTGAAGTTTACACAGACCCTACACTTGCTGTTCTTCTTCTTTATCACCACCGTATTGGATAGTCAGGTGGGGTAGTTGACTTCTCGGATTAACTGTGCTTCCAGTAGCTTTTTCACTTCCTTTTCTACTGTATGCACATGGACCAAAGTTGGTCTTCTTGCTCTCTGAATCACAGGCTTAGCTGACTTGTCCATGTTAAGTCTGTGGTAGGTGACCTTAAGACTGATTCCCGACATCTCGTAGGGTGTCTAAGCAAACACCTCTATGTTTTCTCTAAAAAAAGTCTCCAGTTTTCTTTCTTCTTCCCCGGCTAGCCAGAGCCGAGGAGGAAGAATCACTCCTCATCACCTTCTTGTACTAGAACCTTTTTCAAGGGTTTTTCGCTCTTGTCGGCATGTTCTTTGACCACATCATCCAAGATCTCCCGGTCTTCACTTTCAATCTCTATTGTCTCTACTTCCCTTATATTACAGGTGTACTTCATTGTTGCCATGGGGCAATTTTTTGCCTGCACTTGGTCTCTCTTTACTTCTTCTATCCCTTGTTCAGTTAGAAATCTCAGCAGTTTTTTTTGACAATACAATATCTTATTAATTAAAATACTTGTTCTGATTAAATATAGGTTTACCTTTCAAAGAAAGCGAAGAAGAAGAAGAAGAAAAAGAAGAAGAAGAAGAACTAACAAGGTAAAAGTACTAACATCACTAGTTTTTAATTTCTCACTTTTCTAAATCTATTAAGACATGATGTTTGCTTAATGTTTACTAGTGAGTCAATTCAACAAATAAAAGAATAGATGACATGTAGAAAAGAGAGATGTGAAGTACTGGTTTTGTCATTGATGGAGTACTCCTTAGAAGTGATTAACATGTAGAGAAATAAACAATATCAAATCAAATATATATATTTCTGAGTGCTGATTTGCATCCAAATCTATTTTTTTAATTATCCTAGTTCAAAGTCGGACCAAAATTTGCCAACCTTGAAGAAGCCCTCGAATGACTCACTTGCATCCAAATCTGTTTTCACCCTCCTATAGAAAAGCACATAAGCAGCAGCTGACTTCACATCTTCTTCGTTTATGGGCGAAATGTGGCTGTCATCGAAGTTTATTTCCTATACGCAAAGCTTATTTCTAGTATGCTACTTTGTAAGAGGAATACTGTCGAGATATTTTTTGTTATCTGTCTGGACTATGATGCTCTGGCTCTAAACAGACTGAATCATGCTATACTCATTTGTCTTCAAGAGTTAGTAGTCTCCTTTGTTTTATTTATTGCTTTTCCTACGGTTTTTTATTTATTTAATTTTTATTTATTCCAGGGATACTATAGCACCAGTTCTAATAAAATGTTGCTTTTAAAATGATATTATCAACATGGAGATAATATCTCTATAAAGTATGGATTTGGAGTTGGTGACTGTGGTACAGTTGCACCCCTTGAATTTTTTATAAGAAATACAATGAGAGTTGAGTTGAGTTGACCAGTTCGATCTGTTGTAGTTTATAAAATATTGAACCTAGCGGCCTTAACCCTCCCCAACCTTGTTGAGTTCCTCCCCAAACCCGTCACATTGGGGATAGTATGGGCCAAGTTACTGGATGCATTTGCTATATTGCACTCACTATGTTTAATGGGTTGACACAGCTGAGCTTCGATGAACATTAGCAATGGGTGGAGAGAGATATGGTGTTGGAAGCTAAAATAACAGTTGAGGCAGAGGATTTGAGCTTAGAATAGGATGGGGTTGGAAACCATCAATGACAACAAATATGAAAGGTCCCTCAATGAATTTGTAAAGAGATGATTTTGTAAAGTATGTATTGTGGTTTTTTGACTCTGGCAGGTTTAAATGCGGTCAAAGTATCAGATAAATCCAGTGATATGTAGAATTGTATCATCACAAATGCTCGTTTGCATAGCTATATCTTCGTCTTATTCTTATTCTTCTTCTTTCTCTCTCTCTCTCTCTCTCTCTCTCTCTCTCTCTGGTTGAGAGTTGAGAATTTGTGATTCAAAACTCCATCTTCAAATCCCTCTTTTCTCTCATTTCTTATCTGTGTGTATATATATATATATGTATGTATGTATGGTTTGATTTGTGTTGTCAGTCTCAGATTGCATCTTATAAAGAGGGGTTCGGTTTGATCTTGTTCTTTTCCTTGCAAAAATAAAAAATAAAAAATGCCATTAGTTATGTTTTTAAAATTAAAAAGTTTGGAGGTAAGGAAATATCACAACTTGAGGATCTGATTTCTGTACTTAGCAATTTTGTTGAAGTTCTGTACTTAGCAATTGACTTGTCTTCCCACATTGTTAGGGTTTAATTGACTTTGAAGGTACTACTTTAACATTACTTTGAATGATTTGATGAATACATGGTCTTTATTTCTATGAATTTATTTTCAGTCATGTTGGTTATTACTGCCGATCCTCTCTCTTTCTGGGTTTCTTTTAGGAGATAAATGATCTACCACCCAATCCTAATGAGCCATTACCAAATCCACACTCTGCACCAAGAGCTAAGGTTTGTTTTTGAGTGTTTCATTCTATTATAATTTCCATTTTTAGTTTTTCCTGCAATTACATAAGACTCGAGCCATGTTATCTAATTGACCCAATTGGTTTCCGTTAGCATGGCATACTTAAGTATGTCTAAACAGAATCACTTAAGTTGGAAATTGATATTTTTTTTATATATTTATTCCTGGCTAATGTCCTTATTATTTAATTACATAACAAGCAGGCAACTTAGTATGACTGCATTTATCTTAACATTCACAGTTGAGGGAGCAAAATTGGCACAATATTGGTGGGGCCAATTTTGTAATTTTATAAGAAACCCAGTTTGCAAAAAGTCTACCCAAGAGAAATTTTGAGACTCAGGAGGGGCCACAGGAGGGGCCACGGCCCCCCTTCATCCAAACATAGGCCCACCCCTAGATCCATCTTTTGATTTGACAGTTTGCATAATGCTCACTGGTTGATTATTTAATTCGATCCTCAGTTCCAATATTGAGACAAAAAATGCAGTCATAAATAAATAACTAATGTGAAACTCCTAACAGGATCCAGTAATAGGTGGCAGCTTACTGTTGACATACACAACTGGCTATGTTGCTCCTCTACTTCTAGCTGCTTCTTTTGTAGGAGCATTGCAGGTATACTCTTTTTTCACTATGTAAAATCTCGTATGTGAACTCATGATGTGCATAATTTACTCTTTCAAGCATCAACATCTACTGCTGGGAAGGTATGATTTTGCTCTGTTTTCTTTTTATGCACTTGATTGCATAGAACCAGTTGGGTTTTTCATGGTTGAAGAACTTGGTTTTGGTTGAGCAATATGTACATATGGATTAAACTCAGCTAAATTTCTCAACCATGTTAAGAGCTTTTTTGTCTGCAGATTTTTGTTGGTTCTTATAGAAACTTGTTTGTGGATTTGATGTAGAAGTTTTAACAGATTGATATACCTCCATTATGTCATTGTCAACATGCTTAACAGATTGTTTTGTTTTGTTTTGGGGGTTTATAATGCATGTATCTGCTGGATTTATATGCTGAAAATTTCAGCAAAATATATGATGATTGAACATTAACATATGGTTAGATTAGGTTCAGTAGTAAAAAAAAAGAAAGATGAATTTATTTACTTTGAGTACATAGCCTTGATTAGCCGACCGCACTTGATTCAGACACAATGTTTAGTTTGGTTTGATTCAATTTGCTTCAGTTATTGTTATATCATATTAAAATTTAATTCGCTTCAGTTATTGTTATATCAGATTAAAATTTAACTAGTATGGAGCTCATCCAGCGAAATTGTCAATATTGTCTTTGAGCATTTTCATTTTCTGAGGCATCCAACCACAAAAATCCCTATTTGAATGGTAAAACGAAAACTTGAACTCAAATCAGTTGTTTGAATGGTTTGCTATGGACCTGAAAATTCATTGATATAAATGACTGAAATTAAACATCTTATGAAGGCTGTGCAGGAAAAAAGAAAAGGGAAACAAAATGTGAATAGTATTTAGCTTCCATGTTATTTACGTTTCCCTTCAATTTTCTAGTGTCATGTTTCTTATTGGTTATATTATACATGATATTGGTGGCTAGTCCGAATTGTTTACACCTGTTGGTTATATCCTCTGTTAATGGTGCTCAGTGCAGTTTATGGCTGTAGAAAATTCTTTATCTTCAGTCAAAATGCTACTTATCAAATCCCAACAGTATTACAAAGTGTTCCTAGTTAAGTACCATAATTAGTACCATATGATTTAGCTCAGTAGTTTAGAAGTGCATACTGAGACTATACTTGTGTACGTGTATTTCTGATCACTTTGCTGTAATAATATTCAGTTCTGTCAATCATTCAGTGCATAGAAACTGATATGTAGACAATTGGCCTCATTTGGATCCTTTTTTCTAAATGAATAATTTTGACCTTTTCATCATTAACAGGAAGAGGCTACCAAAAGCAAGTCTGCAGGAAAGGCATAGTACCAGACTATGATCTCCGACAGCGATTACACCGAGTTTGAAAACTTCTCAAAGTGGTTGGGAGTCTCCCAGTGAGATTTTTCTGTCTTTGAGTTTTGTCTTGGTATAATATCTTTATCTAATTGTTTTGTTTCAAGAGGAGTTAATTTACTTTTTGTGGCAGTTTTGAGACAAGATTTGAGTTTGGTGGGTTATGTTTTATGACAAGATGGATGGATTTTTCATTTTAGCAGATCTGAAATCAAAATTTTACAAATTGTAGTCTCTTACTTAAACACGGTTTGTTAAGTTTTTTTTGAATGAGAAATTGAATTAATGCTTCATTTGTTATTTGAATGTGAGTTATTATTTTATATGTTAGTTTTATTACAGATATTTGAATGGGAGTTAATTTGTATGTTAGTTTTATTACAGGTATTTTTTTATTAATTGAATGAGAAACTAAATTCAATATTTTTTACAGGTATTTTTTTTTAATTTAATCAAATAAAATTAGCATAATATCCCCCCAAAAAAAAAGGAAGATATGACGCCGTTTCCACAAACGCCTCCTAATCCCTCAACAGTAACGGTAATTTTTTTAAAACAGATACGACAAATTGAATTAATGCTTCATTTGTTATTTGAATGGGAGTTATTATTTTAAATGTTAGTTTTATTACAGATATTTGAATAGGAGTTAATATTTTGTATGTTAGTTTTATTATAGGTATTTTTTTATTAATTGAATGAGAAACTAAATTCAATATTTTTTACAGGTATTTTGTTTTTAATTTAATCAAATAAAATTAGCATAATATCCCCCCCCCAAAAAAAAAGGAAGATATGACGGCGTTTCCACAAACGCCACCTAATCCCTCAACAGTAACGGTAATCCCTCAACAGTAACGGTAATTTTTTTAAAACAGATACGACGGCGTTCAAAAACGTCGCTAAATATTGTTGGTGACGTCAGTGTGTGTATGGTGGGACATTTGGCGGCGTTTGCCTGTACTAATATCACGACGTTTTTAAAACGTCGCAAAGCTACAGCGACGGCCGCAGCTTCGACGTTTGGCACTAAACGCCACAAAAGGAATTAGGGGCGTTTTTGATACATATGGCGGCTTTTTTTAAACGCCGCTAAAAGTGCGATTTCCAGCAGTGAATACTATATACTTATAAAAAATCACGTTGATCGGATATCGATAACTATCTGATTACATCAATTTTTTGTCAACCGTTAATTTGTTTACAATCTATTTATTTTTTTATACAAAATTGATTTGATTATATAGTTATAGTTATCGATATCGGATCAATATAATTTTTTACAGATATATAATATTTAACAAATTTTATATATTGAACGATTCAAATTATTAAAATAAAATTTATAATAAACTTTTACAAATCAAACAACACCATTCAATCTGATCTCGAACAGGGACAGGCTGCATCCTTTTCATAACTCCCACTCAACGACAATTCCCCATCAATTTACCCACTTCTTTTAACTTTTTGGTTCTCTACTTTTTCGCCTAAGCTTTCTGTCAAAATCCATCAATCTCTCATGTATACTCTTACTCTCTCTTTCTCTCTCTCTCATTTCCTTTTTTTAATTTTTTTTATAAATTATGTATAACTTTAAAAATATAAGTTTGATTTATATAAAATTAACGTGTCATTCGTGCTATGTACAGAATAAAATAATATGTTATTTATAAAAAAATATGATAATTATTTATATTTATTTTTTATATTTTATCTCTCATAAATAAATTTTTTTATATAAGTTTAAGAGTTTGTTTTAAATGTTTCTTTACTATCATATATAGTATAGATAGATTAAAATTGTTATATTAACAATTAACAATTAAAATTATGTTTTTCTATAAAAAAAAATAGTTCTAATACTTCACTATTTTAAAATAAAAATATATGAATTTTAAAAATTGTTATATTGATTTTTGAAAGAGAAATAATTAAAGAAATTTTAAAAACATAATGAGTAAGAAAGAATTATCGTAACATGTAATTCAAAATATCAAAAAAAAAGTTAAAAAATGAATGAAGACTTTAAAAAGATGTGATTACAATTAAAACTAATGCCTTATTTATTAAAAAGTATGATTTTATTTGGATAATATTGAGTTTTAAAATATGATTTTGTAGACTTGCTATATTAACTTTTGGAAGGATTATATTGAAATTTTTTTACAAAAATTGAATATTAGTCATTGAAAAAATTCTTATAAGATTTAAAATAAAATTTATAATAGGAAGAAATTAATGTTATTGCAACATATGCATTTTAACAATTTTAAATTTTGAAAAAAAAAAGATTATGACTTTGAACTTCAATTATCGTACAACATTTTTATTTATATAATAATATAAATAAGAATAGGTAATAGATACATTAAAATTAATTGTAAATATAACTATATTTAAAAGGATATGGTTTTGTATAGTTATATTTTAAATTCCAAAATTTATTTTTTAACTTTCTATATAAAAAGATTCAAAATTTTAAATTACATATAATTTTTTTTTTTTCTAAAAACATATGAACTCGCAGTGGAGTAGAAAGAGAAGTACCATAAAGGAAAAAAGGAGCTGCACATATTAAAGATAAATAATTAAATAATTGACTAACGCCTTTAATAGTTTTGAAAAAATTGATTAAAATTAATATTTTCTTTTTATAGCTCTAAAAAACTATTATAAGCCTTTGAAGTAATGTTATACATTAACTGTCAATTAACACATATCATGATATCAAAAAAATATTAAAAGTAATTTTTCTTCAAAAAAAGTAATGATATAAAATAAATACAAAAAACTTAATAATAATAATTTTGTTTGAATTTTGATCTATGTGACATGTTTCTTTATTATACAAATGACCCGATCATGTCATTTTAGTATAAAAATTATAGTAAAACAAAACTAACCAACAAAACATAGTTATAAACAAAAAATAGATAATAGTTGGTGGGGAGGAGGGGAAAATGACACATAAAATATGAAATATAAAAACAAAAAAAATGGTCATCAAATAAAAAAATGGTTAATTTTTTAATGTTTCCTTTTCCTTTCAATCAACAAATTCCCTTCAAATCCTAAATCCAAATACAACTTAAGAGAGATGGTGTAGAATACAATAGATTAAATATAAACTAACCTTTAAATTGTCTCAAAAAAAGAAAGTTAAAAAATAACGAGTTTCACTATTCATGAATGTAATATTTATAGGGCGAGGACGACATGAATAGCTTGCAAAAAGTATGATGTATGATGGTTAGGATTTTTGGATAGAAGAAAGAATTAATTACAGAAAGAGTGCATAAGAATAGTTTATTTCATCTTTTCTTTCTAAATTATAAATCATGGAATCATTATAAAAAATAATAAATTATGAGATTTAAAATATATATATATATATAGTATAGATATGCTTAAATTTATTTGGGAATAAAATTATATTTAATTATGGAATAGAGAGATAGTCTAGATATAAGATTCAATTTTTATTTTATGTTAGACTTAATTTTAGATTTATATAGATCAGGCCAGTTGTGAAAGATATTAATAGTATACATTTTATGGGAGCTGAGAGAGTTTTATTTTCATTAAATTTATTTTTAAGACAGAAAAAGATTGTATGAAATTTATATTATTTTTAAATAAAAACTTAATTTATTTTGAGAGGGAGAGGGGGGTTGAGAATTGTGTACTTTTTTTTTTCTTTGTACCAACAATATACTTGGATTAAATAATTTTGAAGGTTAATATTTATGTCCTTGGAATAGCTAATAGATGTTTTAATATTTTTTTTTATAAAAATCAAAAAATCAAAAAAATTAGATTTAATGTTTTGAAACACTTATCTCTAAGATGAAAAGTCACTTTGGTATAATATATAACATAGATAGATAGACAGATATTAGGGGAGAGATTTTAAAAACTTGTAATTCAATTATTATTATTATTATTTTTAAATCTATA